AGACAAAAAATAACGCAATGAACGTCGTCATATGGCTCTATTCCCGTTCCGTTCTCTCCGTTCCGTTCATCTGTGCACTCATAAAAACAAAGCAGGAAAGCTCGGCGAAAACTGTTTTTTCGACGTTCGCTCATTCCGCTTTTTCCCAAATTTTCCTTTTTCCGCTTTTCCTTTTTTGAGTGTCTTCGGTGTTTAGTTTTGGGTCATTGCGCATTGTTATTGTTTTGTCAGGGGAGAGGGCATCGGCTGCATATTTGTTCTCCGGCCTTTGCCGCCCAAAAAACTCCCACAACAGCCAGGAGAGAAAGAGATAGGCTATCCAAGGTATAGAGAGAGAGAGGAGAGATACTCGCAGTGCGATACTGTGCAGTGTCTCGTTATCCATTGAAAACTTTGCCTGTGCACCAATTCTGTTTGCATTTCTTTTTTCGGGCCTCTTGTATTTTGGCGTGCTACTCTTTCGGAATCTGGATCCGTTAAAAATCACAATCATTGCAATCACTATAAATGACCAGCTGAAGAACAAATAAATACAATTTTCTAGCTTTCTTATGTGCTTAGAGTCTACAGTAAGACCGTAATTCCAGTATGCCATATTTATTTGTATGCAATAATGCTACATACATATATTATGGATTGTGTGTTGTACTCGTAATACTCGCTAGGTTCATAAAGTATTATTTACTAAGTATTTAATATAAGCTCAGTGTTTTATTAGATCATCAGATCAGATTACTATAGAGCATCGGAACTTCTAGATTCTCCACCTTCGGCTTCATTTTTGTTCGCTTTTCCAAATAACAGTAATTGCTGCCATCATGTTGTGCGATGTGGGTGAAGTGTGAGTGTGAGTGGGCGAGCGGGTATGTGTGTGCGCGCCATAGGGATCCTTAAATTGCATTGCACTAAATGGTGAAAATTGTTGTTGACTTTGCTTTGGTTGTCAGCACAGCTCCAAACTATTCGTACCCCAACACCTATTTCTATTGCTGCCTTGCATTCGGCTAATCACAAACAAACTTGATAAGCTTAAAACTATATTTTAAGCCTTTTGTTTTGGGGGCGGACTTCCTAATTAAAGAGGACGTTGCGAAAGCATTTTCGACCCCGTCAACTTAACTAACAACCCAACTTGCCTTTTAATGACTTTGACTTTTAATTTAATTTAGCGCACACCTGAAAAGTGCTCTCTGCCTTTTAAGCTGCTACCAGCTCCCGTCTGAGTCTCTCCGCCCCATTCAGAGTTGCAGACTTTTCTGAAATCATTTTTCGAACTGCATTTGCATTAAAATTCACTCCAAGCTGGACGGAGGAGTACCTACCGACTTTGCCCTATCTTTTTTGACGCAAAAGTTTTCTCGCAGTTAAGAATAACATTACTAAAGCTTCCTTTCCTGGAATTATCAACAACATGTCAAACTGCCAAAAAGTGTGCAACTCTAAAACGTACTAAGTGCTGTAACTTTGGGTGCTGATAGTTGGGATGAGTCCAAGCCGTTGATGGTAATAAAAAGGATGTAGAAAAATATTCAGAACCTGCACTGAACAGAGATTATAAAACAAAATATTTATCAATTTATACATGATCAAAAGCTGTATGACTCCACCTGTTTTTTTACTGAGATTTCACGAGCAATGGTAATTATGAAAAGTGTTTGCAGAAGGCCAAAATATTTAAATATTGTTATTTAATTCTTGTGAAATATCCTAAAAATAATTATGCTCGCATTGCCAATTTATTTTCCATTTACTTCAAGCCTTTCGCTACTGACTTTTTGATTGCCAGCAGCCCTTCAAAAAATGCTAATTTAATTCACATTTCGGCTTTGTTTTAATTGAATGCATAAATTAAAAATTCGTGCATGTGTGTGCGAGTCTGTCTGTGGCTCTAATTAAACGCCCCATTGCCTAAACACACTCCCACTCCAACACCCTCTGTCCCTGCCACTCAATCACTTTCGCTTAATCAGCGAAGGGCGTCGGGCCAGGTGGGCCGACTCACACCCTCGCAACGCGCCGCACCCCCTCCCAAAAGAAACGAAAGAAATTTCTCAGGCCACGAAAGGGACCCAGGGCCAAACAGAAGCTGATTGCTTAATAATATTTTGTGATGATGTGAATTTACTTTTATTTCTCATTTGGGGGAAAGCCAAGCCCAAAACTCACAGCTCCCCTTCATCATTGGCTTTTGGGGGCAAATCAGCTCAGGGACCCCAAAACAGGTGACAGAATTTTGTTGTTTTTTTTTTTCTTTTCTTTTTTAGGAAAAGCGTGTGAGGCTTGCTGCGTTGCCAAAACATGTGTAAATATTCATAAGAGTGTGTGTTTGTTTGCGTTTCCCTTTGTTTTCGTCAATGTTGAATCGGTTTTCGTTTCCTTTTTGGGGTTGAATCTGCAGGCACGGCACCCTGTTCCACATTTTGCGGCATTTGTTTGCCTCAGCGATAAAAATGTAAATTTATGAAGTTTTAATCAATTTGGGGAATTCTCGCTTTCGTTCTTTGTCGCCGTTTTTTTTCGGGTCTTTGTTCTTCCGTTTGTTTGCGGGCCCCAAAAGGAAAACCCAGACGGCAGACAACAGAAATTTCGTTTTTGCGAAACATTTAAAACATATTCCCGGCTTTTTCGGCCCACTTTCCCTTTTTTTATTTTTTGTTTGGCAGCCGTGTAAAGCGTAGCACCATAAAGACCCTAATAAAATTTTAATTTAGTGTTATTTGTCACCAGAGGGCATACAAACCCGTAATACAGATGAATGTATCTCAATTTGGGCTCTACTGGTTTTCCTTTTTGCAAGAGTTGGGTGTTGAGCTGTGAAATTTAGCCCCAAAATGAATTGTGAACTTGAAGCTGTCCTGCTATTTGGTTCTATTTTAACGCAGCTATAAGAAAAATCTCTTGAAAATGGCTAATTTTATGATTTACTCAAACAATTCATAATATTTTATTGAACTAATTGACACGCCGCAACGCGGCACATACTCGCACTCGTAAATATTGAGCGACGTAACATTTTATTTATTATTTAATTACCATAAAGCAAATACACGAATATCCAGGCAGCTCCCAAACAAATTGATTGTTTATTGCAGGCACACATTAGCAGACGCAGACGCACACGCAAACTCACAGTCACAGTTATTGTATTTCGGGACTGTCACATGCTGCGTATACGCATTGTGGGGAGGAGATTCGGCCTCCGAAGGCAAACCAAAAACCGCCACAAATAATCCACAAGCCGGGATGGTGGGGCGCGGCAGAGAGATGGGAGTTATGAAACACGACCGCAACCCAAGGCGAATTATGAACGGGGACTAGAACGAGATAGAGAGCGCAAGTGCGAGTGGAAGTGGGAGTGGTAGTGGCAGTGAGGGAGGGGGACCAACAACGGAAGCTGTGAGACTGTCACAACTGCGGCAACGGTAATTGCCAATGTCCACTGTCCACGAGAGCAGCACAATCCTGTCGACCATTTGGGAAGCGCTGCCTTTTCTTCTTTATTTATGCTCTTTATGGCCTGGTGGGGTGCCGGAGTGGAGGACAGGGAGCATAGTGGGTGATTTGGTGGTTTAGTGGCTCGGTGCCAGTAGGTGTGGACTACATTACTCCGAGCATAATTTTAATGTGCGTGGAAAGCGATGGTAGCAAGGAGAACTACCTAAACAACAAGCATAAAGCAAAAAGGTTGGTGGAAAGTGCCAGCTATGGGAACCACCGAATGCCATATAAACAATCATATCCCTATCCGAAAGAAAACCGAAACTACACTCTACAGTGATAGACTGTATTCTACCAGAGGCCAATGTTTACAAGACACTGGCAACAAAAATCAGAACTCAGAAAAAATGGTTAGTACAACAGAAACAAAAGAGAGTGCCAAGTGGAGCTATGCTCGTACTCGTAGTGGTTGTGTTGTCACTGTTTAGTTAGTAGTGGTTATTTATGTGCCATTAGCAAGTACCAAAACGCATTTGGAGGCTGGGTTAGGAGGGGGCCTACTCCTCTCGATTTATGCTCCAACCGGCACGGCCAAAATGGTTCATAAATTCTGGCTGTGTGGCGAAAAGTGTGCAACTGGTTTCAATAATTCGGCGGCTCTTATTATCAACAGCAATCATTTATACCTCTCAGTGCTTTTACTCGTTTTGTGCTTCTTTTTCACACACATACACACACACAGTCTCATTGTCGAGTCGTGGGCCTGTTTTATCGGCGTTTGTTTTACTTCCGACATCGGAACCAGAAACGGAAATTTCTCATTTCAGTACATTTCCGCCTCGCGCGCACACACACACGCAGACGAGAGTGGTTGGTGGAGACAGAGAGAAAGGGAGATGGAGTGGGGGAAACATATGCAGATCGTATTCATAATATGGTGGATAGGGTACGAGTAGGTCGGGTTCGCCTTCAAATGAAAAATAAACAAGGGAATCGTATCCAAAGGGCGGGCACAAGCATTCATTGTAACAAATATGCCAGTATTAGAAACGATAAAGGATACGTACAAGGCAGGAGCTAGGAGAATGGAAAAAGGAGAGGGGGCAACGAGAACAAGCACAGAAAATCGCCAGCAAAATGTTTTAAAAACTGCCAAAGGCGTAATTTTTCCTTTCATGTCTTCCCTTTTGTCTTTGGCTAAGGAATTTTCCCAGAACTTTGACTTGATATTGCGAATTGGAGGAGGGTCTCGGGGCCGGAGAGTCGGTGCTAGTAGGTCGATGGCAGTTGACATCGGTTTGTTGTTTTGCAAATTTCCCTCTTGTTTATTGTAATTTCCTCTTTGTTGTTCATTTACGAGTATGTCATTGTGTTACTGTGATTTGTCTTGTGTCTGATGCCACCATGCGGATACGAGTTTTTCAACCTCAATGCGAGCGCTGACCAACAACGAGGGCGTACATATATATGGTTAAGACATTGTGAAGTGCTTTAAATCAATTTGAATATTTATATCTGACTCAGTACATTTTTGTGTCAGCAAACCAACAAAAACAAAATCATCAAAATAATTCATCTAAGTGCCCTTAGGGTATTTTGTGATTTTGGAATAGGCAACAAGATCAGTTAAAAAATCTAAAAATATCAGCGTCTCGACAGGTGAACACAAAATTTAAAATAAAATCCAAGTAAGAAATAATTTAAAAAATTTTGTTTGTAGAATGAATTCAGAGATAGATCTAAGATCTGCGGAGGACAAAACATCCCCCAACTCCATCTCAACGGATTCCACAACCATTGGGGAGACGTTACCAAGCCAAGCTTCGCCTGTGGCCAACTCAACCCCGATACGCAGTACACTGCTGACCGGTGTGCGTACCCATATTTCTGTGGCCTGTGACTCTCCGTTTTTACGTCGCATACCAAAATCGTTTGCCCACATCAAAGGTCGACCGGGTGTAAATAGACAGCCTTCGGTTGCCTACCAATCTCCGAATCTTTTGCGTCGCATACCCAGAACTTTTTCCCACATCAAGGGACGAACAGGTATAAAAATGCCCCCAAATGTCCACCCCAATGCAAGACCTACTTCGAGTGCACATGGAACCGAAGCATCGCCACAGCCTCCTGAAAACGCTCCCTTTGAGCACGTGAGTATAAATGGACAAAATTAAACCTACTCTACATAAGGATTTCATTCAGTTGTTTGAAGCTGAATTGGTAGACGTGGAAGTGCTTGGGTCAGCTGCTGAAACTCTTGGGTCGGCTGTGGAAGTCCTTGGAACAGCTATGACACTCCTTGGAGAAGCTAGTGTCTCGGAGGGGCAGCGGATGCCAGAGCCACAATCCGTGCCGGCGACGGAGGAAATGACAGATAAAAGATACGAATACCCATGTTCTATATCGTAAACGAAACCAAACAACATTTATAACATTTATTGAACACAGAATTGTTGCTTGCTGTTGCCCATAACACCACATAATGTACTAAAAAATCATTTAATTAACCTTGGCGCTGCATTAATTAAATTAAATATCACATATTGAATAGCTCCCGACTCTCAATATGAAATATGTGGAGAGTCTCGAGAATTTGGCGTTAATTTGACACGAAGATTGGTATTAGGGATTGTCCGACCCATTCGTTCGCTCACCTGTACAACTCTTTTCATTCTGTTGCCAAGATATTCCACTTGAGTGAATTTCTGGGCGAAACGAATTCAATTTGCATATTTTGACAGAAGAACCGGACGGAGAACAAAAAATGTGGCCCAGAAGAGAAATTAATGCCTGGCGCTAATTACAAGAATTTATTGAAATCAAAAGTGTCGACTGGCGGAGTGTGGGGAGCGCAAAGAAATGGGAGTGGTCGGTGGGCGGTGGAAATCGGCTTTTCCCCTCCTAGGGTTGAGCGGACGGGTCTTTTGGGCTTTGGGACTCCAATTATTGACACTTGACCAAACGGCCAAGCGACCAAAATGGTAATTTCTATTAAAAACTTTACGAACAATTTTTGTTGGAAAGAATTCCCTCTGATACTTTTTCTCCTGTTTTTGGGTCATTTTTGTTTGAAGCCAACGAAGTAATGAAAGTGCTGGGACGAACAGAAAAGTTTTCGATTTCAGTGCTTTTACAAATTGGCATTAATTAATTTTCAATGTTTTTTCCCGGCTTTTTTTCTTGGTCTCGCACTTGAGAGTTTTTTTGGCAAATTGCACTTGGATTTTAATGAAAAATATTTAGCAATTTGTATGGCAGCAAAGAACACTGAAGGGGAATCGGAGCTTGCATTATATTCCTAATCCCACAAAAACCAGCTTTACGACAAGGAAACCTCAATTAAACGCACGCGACTGTGTTTAGTCAAATATATGTATGTACAGTGCACACCTCTAAATACTGGTCATACTCTTGAACGGGCTGAATACTTTTCCAATTAAAACCATCCCCGACGTGAAGCCACATGGAGAATAACATTTTTTGTGTATTTTGTTTCAACTTTTTTTTGGATTTTCCGAGCTGTAAAATATAATCTTTCATTTGGGCGGGACAGGGACCCTTTCTCTTCAACTGTGCGAGTCATATTAATAATTCCTTTCATTATATTTTTGTACAAAATTTTGCGCGTGTTCGTTTTTTTATTCTACTTGTTTCGTATCTTCTTGCGGTTGGCCTCGTGCCTAATATGAGTTTTATGCAAAAAGCGCTTTGGTTAGGTTGGAACTCTAGAGAGATAGGAGGAAGCCTGGCTTTGGCCATAATGCTTAACAGGTTGTGTTACCTTTTTTTTACCTCGGCGTGTGGCATTAAAAAATTTAATGTTGTTATTATGGCACGCGAAACTGTTAAAAGAAATACGTGGAAGAATGTTAGAGTAATACAAAAATTAAATTGTTCCCTCATTCATAAGGCTTACCATTTTTTTCACCTTATTTAAACTGTTAATAAATTGGGAAAAAAAATTGGAAAAGATATAATAAAAAAAGGGTAAGTCCACCCTCGGAGGCTGAATGCCTCTATTGTGTCTGTTTAAGTGTGTTTGAGACGGTGATTCTGCTGCAACGCTTTGGCGAGGTCTTTGTACTCCGCCATTAGTTTTTTATGGAATGGATTTATACAGTTGTGCATTTAAATATTGTATCGGAATCGGAATATGATTCTCATTCTATAGTATCGGGGTCACCAACGAAGACACCTGTTTTTTTTGCGTCTGAGATACTACGATCATTCAATTAATGCCCTTTAAAATCGATAATCTCCAAGTTGTTCCCAAAGTTCCGGCCATTCTTTACCATCATGCCAAACATTAGGAAATTTACAAACTGCTAGAAAACTTTTGTGTTGTTTTATTGCAACCAACATCAGTTGGGCAAATATAAAAACTTTTCAATACATATATTTATAAGTAAATATATACATGGATACATACATATGAAAAAAAGTGTCCGGAAAATTCGTGCGGAGAAAACTTTTCCCCGCAGAAAGGGGCGAAGGCTATAAACTTGAGTTTGCCGAGTGGTTTTTTGTTTTTCCCAACACGCTTCGCAGTTCGATGTGGTCAAGTTTTGCTCACTAAGCGAAACTAATGTCGAAGTGGCGAAGCGCGAAAAGAGTTGCTTACTCCGCTCCGCTCCAGCCGGCCCCTGCGACGGGAAAATGTTGGAAAACTAAGAAAAATGAGACGATAATGGCTGCGATATTACTCCAAAAGCAGAGTGCTCTCGACTCCCCATAAAGAAGCTGGTTTTAACTTCGACCCAGAAACAGCGAAACCAAATTCGCTAATCATCGGAACTGACTGTGAAAATACTCGTAGATAAAGGTAAAACAAATACATACAAACATATGCATCTATACGAAGGTCATAAATCACTTCGATTTGAATGAGTCCGGCAAACAAACCGATAAGTAGAATTCATCAGGGCCAGTCCGTCGCAAACAATGCACAATAATAAATAATATTGGAGCTGGCTTTTGTATTTGATTTCAAAAGGGCCCTGCCACGCCCGTTCAATGGAAGTGACGCTTGGAGCGTCTCTTCATTCCTGGTCGCCTTTGTTCGGCCACTTCTGGCCGCATTGACAATTTGGCGGAAAATTCGAGCACGTGGAGCAGCTGAATTTTATTGATGAGCTTGACAATTGTGGGCAATGTCAAAAGTGAGAGAAAAATGACGAAATGACTTCGGATACTTTGACTCTGCGTGGGTGCCCGAGACTAGCCCTGTTTTTACTTGGTTGTCAAAGCTATTCGCATTTCGCTTTGATCCAGCTAACCTAAATTATGAAGCGCGGTTCCGCCGAAAGTCCCAAATTCCTTACCTTAACCCCATCTTCGGGCCATATGTCACACGGTGAAGCCCAACGAGAGGGAGAGCCACCGAGTACGAGTATAGATGCGGAGCAAAAACGAATGGCACATATTTGCGGAACATAAATTTCCAACGCCAAAAGTCAAAAACATACCACTTTTACCATATTTTCTCTTTCTCTTGACTCTCCCAAGACGATGCACGGCAAGCCGAAACGTTTTTCATAACGCCTCTCAGGGCTGAGGTTGTGGGCGGCGGCCAGCGTCCCAGTTTTATGTATATCCAACATGCTAATGCCAAACCACTAAAACACACATTTTTATCCCCAGCAAAAGAAAAGAATCGCCAGCCAAAATGAAAAGTACGCTGTCAGGACTACGCGCAAGTTTTTTAAATAAATCTGGAACAGCTGGCACTATGGCATGAAGGCAAGGCCACAAAATATCCAAAGGTACAAAACTTATCGGCCGACAGCGTTGCACCAAGAATTTCAAAAAATAAAATAAAAATAACACAAACAAAAAATGTCGAAAGAAAAATTGAAATGAAATAAATTGACAAAGAAATAAGAAAAGAGGTTACCCACCAAAATCTTTCAACAATAATGGAATAAATATGTATTCAGCTGAAAAACTAAGTTTAATGTTCCAATTAATTCAACCTTCTTAGATATAGAATTATCAGGAAAAATAAGAACGTTATATTCTTCGTTGACTGTGAATATTTTCTATGAAAATTTCCTTGACTTTTCAATTTTCTTTCTATCAATTGTACTTTCCTTGAGGGAGTCTTTACCTGCTAAGTAAGCGCACTTTAAAGCAGCATTAGTTTCACCTTTACACATTTTGTTAGAGCTTAACTAACGAAAATGTTTCGCATAGAATGGTAAGGAAAAGAAAAGACTTTCCATTCACTCAAACTCTCAATGAAATCCCCTCAATTATGGCAGCACATTACAAGCTAATAATATAAACTAAAGGATAAACCTTGGCAATATGAGCAGAGAATATACCTACGGTACATATATATGAAAGAAAGGCCCAAATGCCATCAAAATTGCTGCCAGAGTGACTCAATTGAAAGTCTTGAGGGCTCAAATAGCTTTAAGCCGACAAAAAGAAAAGCTCACACGCGCATATCAGTTTTGAGAGGATGTACCCGATTCTAAGGACTTTCTTGGGTGTTGTAGAGGGAATATAAATAACAAAAAAAAGAAGACGCACAACTGAATTTAAGCGCTTTTCAAATACGCCTTCAAGCACCACGCGGCCCGTGCCCCAAGTCTCCACTTAACGCATTTATGTTGAGAACGTGATATAATAAAGAGAAACAGGCGAAAAGGAGAGAAATTCTGTCAAAAAAAAGCAAAGGAAAACCATCTAAATCCCTCACAGCAGACTTAGTTATTCCACTGCCTTCTGACTATCAATATCAGCGATTCTGGGTAACCCTTTGCATCAATATTACTCATACACTGGACCACGCCCCATGCTCAGTGCTCCCTAGTTCCCCGCGCCATGGCCCAGACAAATCAAGTCAAACGCGGCGCACAAAAATATGCTATAGAAATTTTTTCGCACCCTTAGCGAATGCCTCGCCTCGCAAATTGAATTGAAATTCGATGGCACTTTAGCCTTGGATGGGGATGTGAATGGGAATGGGGAAAATGTGGACGGGGACAGAGATGTGTACGGAGGCGGAGAAGGTCTCGTCAGGTCTTTTGGGGCATGTCTTGTGCTTGTCTATATTAAGGTCTCTCAAGCTCAGCATCATCCTCATCGGCATCATCATCATCATCGCCAACATCATGCGAAGGAGCGCATTAGGCGCGAATTTTCGAGTGCCTTTTCAAGGATAAACGTAAATTTTATTAGTTTTTTTATGCCCTCCCTTTCCTCCATTGCATTAGCGAAAATTAGTCAGGCCAGCAACAACTCAAAGGTTATTTGAGAAATCCATATTGAATATCCCCCAGCCACTTATGTGCCCCTTGTAGTTTAAAGTTAAAAATTGATTGCTGAAATATTAGAAGGGACCAAACCCCTAAACAAATCATATTGAATAAGGTAGTCGCCTACTTACATTTATATTGTACATACTCGTATGAGTTTGGCCTCATGATTGAGACCATATTTGAAATTTAATAAAACCCAAGCGAGTGGAAATTTGAATGAGTCGAGGTTTATCTTCGAACAG